AGTGAAATAAGTAGAGCTGCAACTTGGACCTCTGTACGTACCTTTGTGAAGTGCTGTGCAATAACTCATGACTTGGCTTCTGATGCTGTGTGTGGCTCAGCTATACTTTCTTCAATACTGGACTCAGCTCTGAAGGCCCTTCCTCCTTAAAGGGAACTGCTCAGTAGTCACCTACAGTGGAGCACCCATAGGGACACTACTAGAAGAAGACATGGTCACTCACCGGGTACAGTAACTGTAATTCTTCAAGATGTGGTTCCCTATGGTTTCTCCACTACCCGCTGTCCTTCCCCTCTGCTTTCGAGGTCTCTGCTACACAGTAGAGAAGAAACTAAGGGTGGTTTACCTGCGTGCTGATATATAACAGCAGGAAGCAACACGCATGCACAGGCTGAACAGACACTGTTATGAGAAATCTCCAATCAAAGGTGCAGAGGATGCAAGTACACTTAGAGTGGAGCACCCATAGGGAGATACATCTCAAAGACCCACCCACTGCATAGGGTGAATAACCATTTATTGGTTTTTTTGTTTTTGCCCAAATTTTAGAGGATTCAAACAAGCTGTTTGAAATGTGTCTAAAAATATATTTAAGTTTATTTCTACTGGGATAGCATGAAGTGGGGGTGGAGGGGTGGTAAAGGAAGGTGCCACCCATTCTAGAGCTCTGTCATGTTGTTGAATTGTTGTATTTTAGAGCAGTGATTTTCAACTTCAACCCCCAGGGCTCTGCATACTATGTCTAAGATTTCCAAAGGGGTCCACACCTTCGTTTGAAATTTTTTAGGGGTCCACAAATGAAAAAAAGGTTGAAAACCCTGTTGTAGAGGCAGCCTGTGCTGTACCTGTTTGCAATAGCTTTAGCTAATATCAGTAGTGTATTTTAAATAGTAATTTCAGGTTTAAATGCAGTGATAAAATATACCAGATTGTATAGTCGCTCTACATTAACCTGAATTAAAAGTTCCTGTAGTGGTGGGAAAGCAACTAGGGTGATGCACTGATGTATACAAAATATAAATAGGGACAAGAAATATTTCATCATCTGCAATTTGTGATATGTTTTAAATGTCAAAATTTGTGTGAAACTTTGGAACTTCAGAGGTTATTCACTTGGTATATGGGGTAGCACTGTAGTACTTTGTCCCAAATACTAGATACATTAGGTATTGTCAAAATAGCCAGCCACAGAATTAATTGAACAGTTAATCCAGTAAACAAAGCACATATTGTAGCTGGAAGAATTAGAGTGTATCCTGAAGGTTTTTTTAATTTAAACCTTAATTTAAACGTCATCGAGTGTTGCCTGCCAAAGTACTTACTGAATTTAAAAATAAATTCCTGACTAGACTACTTATATTTTTTCCCCATTATCATCTTAGGTTAGTTTTGTGAAAGAAGCTATAATGAAAGTGCTGAATTTAGTGCTGATGTTTGCAGATCGTTGGCAGGCTGGTTTGGGAGCTTGGAGGTAAGTAATATGTCATAATGTTTTATAAAGTGATCATTTCACAGCTCCAGTGTTGTATTTGAGGCATATATCTTTTTGCTTTGCATGTTTAATGGGAGACTAATGTGACCTTTTGTTAACGAAGATAAATTCAATTGAATTGAAGCTTATCAGCTGCAGGCACCTGTTGGTTGTATAATCAGAATGTGTTTCTCAGTGAAAAAGGTGGCCAATACATTAAAAAAAAATTGTAAGACTGTAGTGGGTTAACAACAAATGGAAGTACTTTTTTATTTCTCATCATGTGTTCTTATAAATTAATAAAATGAAAGGCTCAGTGGTCATCCTTTTACTTACATTTTTTTCTGAGATTTAGTTTCCAGTGCCTGTGATTTTAAGCTAACGTTCATTTACTTGGTTTATGAGAACTGTAGGTTTAACCAATAAGGACTCATTCTGGTCTGGTAAAAAGGCAGGAGAAGAGAGGAAAAGTTAAACTTCCTTTGTTATTTTCTCCTTGGTAAATCTTCCTTTTTGATGTAGACTGCTAGTGATAGTAACCTTGCCTTATGTCTCAGAAGATGAAATCCTGGTTCTGTTAAAGTCAATGCAAGTTCTGCCTTTGAGTTCAGTGGAGCCAGGGTTTCACCCAGAAAGTTCAGGACTCCCGTTGTATCAAAAATATTAAGTCCGATAAACTTCTAAGCAGGGTACTTGCGTTACATGAGGATAACCTAAAATTATTGTATTCTATTGTTTTTTCCTTTATACTTCCTGTGTATTCTTAGGCACAAAATGAGAAATTTCTCTGAGGCAGGATTTTCAGGAGTGCTCATTGCTGGCCTAACTGTTCCTATTGAAGTCCCAATCCACCCCCTAACTTTCAAGACTGTTTTTGGTGCTGGTGTGTATATGAGTCAGTTATCCTGCTCTAGGCATCCATCTCCTGGGCAAGTGTTTCTGATTTTGCCTGTGGAACCCATCTCCAATGTCAGGGAAAAAGAGGAGCAAGTCATCAGGTAGCTCCCTAGCTCTAGGCTTTGAAGCAGTATGGAGCTTTAGAGCACGTCACGTAAGAGAGGTTTCCTAGACAGGATCAGTAGCTCTTCCTGATAGTTGGTAGATGCAGACCAGAGGGTGGAGTTAGCTCACCATTATTTGTGTTACGATAATGCTTAGAAACCCCTGTCAAGGATTGGGGCCCTGTTGTGCTAGGCACTCTGTACACAAACAACTGAAAGATGATCTCTGCCTTGTTTTTATTTATTATTAGAAAGAAAGGATATGTCCTCTTATATAGAACTGTCTATGTAGTTATTTATCCACTTTATATGTGTTTAAATTAAACTGCACTTCTTTCTTAGGATGGAATCCATAGAGAAGATGGAATCAGATTTTAAAAATTGTCACATGTTTCTTGTAACAGTTATAAACAAAGCAGTCTGTAGAGGCTCTTTTCCTCATTGTGAGTATACAGAATAATTTTAAAACAATAGGCTTTTCCTATATTGACACTTTTAATTTATAAGCTTCTTTCGGCAAGTAGGCTTTTCTGGGTTTGTAGGAGTGAGGCTGTTTTAATGTTTAATATGTTTTAAATTGAATTTTATCCTGTGTAAGAACAAGCTTAAGGTGTGTGTCCATAGAGAGGGATTGGCAAAGCATTTTCTATTTTCTTTTAATAAAACAATTTAACAAACATTTTAGAGCATTTGTGCCTCACTTCGTTTATGACTAGCAAAACTTCCTTCATTTTGCCTAATGCCCTGAGGAGGGACATGCAAATAATGTTGGCATATATCATAAATCCTAACGTCACCAAAGGAATTCACATGCCACTTAAAATAAAGTATTTGGTGATCAGTTATTTGACTACACATCACTTAAAATGGCTGGCATTGAATTCGTGACGAAAAAATGGTTTGCAGTCAGAGCTAATCACTGTTAAACATATTCTTTTCTTTGATTCAGATGTTGTATTGCCTGGTATAGGCCAAGCAGAATTGCTACATTTATTGTTTTATGACATCAGAATGGACAACCTAAAATGGATGACATAAAATGCCATGCTCTATTTTAACAATTCAATGGTTTTAGTGGTGGTTTGTTTTATGCAGCATTATAGTCCTGTATGGTGCTTAACTGGCAAATGAAAGCAGTGCCTGCCTGAGTAATTTACATTTTAATGGTTACATACGTTAGGAGTCATACTCATACTTTTTCAGTGTAAACGTTGCACCCACTAAATATTTCTAAAGTTAGTAATAAAATATTTGCCTAAGTAACAGGTGCTTCTTTGGATGAATAAACATGTGATGATGCGGGTAGTGGTGCAAGAATAACACCAATTTGTTTATCTTAAATGATACTGTCTTCTCAAAGTGACAGAGCATACAAAAGGTGGTCATGGTTGTAATTTCAAAAGTATAAATATGAGAGCAGAGCAGAACATAGATTAGGTCTACTGTTTCAAGAGAATTTACTCTGTATTTGCACTGATGTAAATGAAAGCAGATTTTTTCCTATATTCTTGGATCTTTTGGCTGGTGGGGTTATTCTCAGTGTAGATGTATTAATACTGTTTATTTACAAAGGATAAAGATACATTTATTCAGTTTTGCACCTTTTGCTAAGGATAAGGTTCCACACCAACAGCTGAAAAGAAATTAACTCTCCTCAATTGGCCCCTCATTATTTCAGATATTTCAGGTAATGAAATTGATAAAATTGAAAATGCTTGATGCAGGGACTTAAACCCTCAGATATTGTTATTTGTAATTTGAATAATAAAAGATATCTCATCTGCCTGGTAAGCTATAAAACTGACAATTTCAGTAAACCTTTGCAGAGTGATGTAACCAAGAATATTTAAAATGTTTAAAAATTTTTTATCTGTTTTGATTCACAGTGGAGTCTTTAGCTGTGTCACTCATGGCTGGCATGGAACAAAGTTAACAAAAGACCAGAGTGCATTGAACTACTCAAGAACTGAACTCCTGCAGCATTCATCTGCAACATTATTTATTCAAAATGAGCATTTTATACTGAAATCCATGTATATGTAGATAAATGGCAGTTGATATCATTTCCTTTCATTAACTGTTTGAAACTGTAAAATGTTTGAAACTGTAAATGGTGATGTACAGTATTTAATGAGTATTGGTTGTGGCTGTATTTTTTTCCTGCATGTTAGTATGCTATAACATCAGATTCATACTGTCTTGTAAAAGTAGCTGATTTGAAAATACATGAAATGTTTCTTCTTGTGAAGAAGGAATTACTCACTATTTTGTTAAATAGAGTATTTGCTGATTAAGTCTTTAAAATAGTTTCCATTAGTTTTGCAAGAAATGTTAAATACTTGCCATTTTTAACTAGGATCAAAAGCACATATGTAGAATATACTATAACTGTGAAAATGCGGAGTACAAGAATACGTGTTCTCAGCTCCTTACCCTTCCCTGATCTGCCCCTTCTCCAGCTTCCTAGTCTCTTGCAACCCAGCCTCTAATACTGGTAGTTCTTCAAGTGTCTGTAAATGTGGATCTCACTCTTGGTGTGCATGTGCCGCATGCACAACAAATCAGAATCTTTTAACCAGCTGTGTTCTTTGGGATCACACATGTGCCCTGCATATCCTTGTGTTACCCCCTCTCGAGGGCAGAAAAGCTGGAGTGTATTCAACTGCCACTCAATTCCTTCTTACTACCTGCAAAGAAACAATCTCTAATCCTGGGACTAGCAGCCTTGTCCTATCACCTGTTTTAAATAAATAATAAAAAGAGCCTGTAGAGATTGACTGAAATGCTACTTTTCATCTGTACTTCTGCTGAAATACAGTCACAAACTTTGTAAGTTTTTTGGCTGTCTGAGCTCAGGTCAACGGTCTGCCAACCCTAAGCCTTTAGGCTTAATATTTCTAAGCTTTCTAACCCCCTTGGTTGCAGAGGAAACTCAGTATTTTTTTTAAACAAAAGCTGAGATTTTAATGTAATCACATGACTCCAAGAGCAGGGGCTTTAAGAGCAATACCAAATCACGAGAAAGCTGGCAACACTGGTGTGTCATACACGGGCAAACTGCTGGTGTCCTCTAGTATGTTCCATGTCAGTTTGTAGCTTATTTTGGGATGTTGTCTAAGCAAAATGTATACATATTACCACAGCTTCCCTTTTACTACTATGTCTCAGACTTCTGGAGGGACCTCCTTTGAAGGTGGGGTGTCATCACAGGTAATTTGTACCTTCATTCCACCTTGGTCTCTTCCCATCATGATATACCATGCTCTATAGTGTACCTATATTTGATATACTGTATCTATAAATACTTGCTGCTTGTCCAGTTTAACAGCACTAGCCTTAGCATGCTGTACTTGGGCGCTGAGGTCCAGCAGTTGCTTGGACTGGTTCAGGTATATTCATATGCTGTTTGGCCATATACCAAGTAGTTGTATACTTTGCTTTCTGTACTTTAAAAACTTGACTGATAAGATTGGTGGTGGTTTTTTATATACATTGGTTACTCCTAGCTCCACCCAACTTTCTTTTCTCTCAACCTGCTTTCAGTATTTCATTTAACTAAGGCCTGGTCTACACTAGGCGTTTATGTCGAAGTTAGCGCCGTTAAATCGAATTAACCCTGCACCCGTCCACACTGCGATGCTATTTAGTTCGACATAGAGGTCTCTTTAATTCGACTTCTGTACTCCTCCCCGACGAGGGGAGTAGCGCTAAATTCGACATGGCCATGTCGAATTAGGCTAGGTGTGGATGGAAATCGACGCTAATAGCTCCGGGAGCTATCCCACAGTGCACCACTCTGTTGACGCTCTGGACAGCAGTGCGAGCTCGGATGCTCTGACCTACCAAACAG